TGTCTTGTCTGTATTATGGTTTGATCTACAGGAATTTGGCTAAAAAAGGGTTTCTTCACTTTCACTGAACATAAATCTTGCGTACTTCCATGTTTGCATCAGCAGTTTGATTTGTCTGAAGCAGTTGTACCATATCCCACCAAAGAGCAAAATATCTGGCATAATTTTTATGGTCCATTGCAAACATGCAAGGTAACATCTGCTGTATGCATGTATTGTGAAGTGACCAAATTCCTTCTCATGTTGATAGAATCAAGTTCAGAAACACACTAAATTGTCTGAAGTATGTCTCTGAAGATAGTCTTGTTAGCCAATGAGCCTTCTCATATTTGAATTTCTTTTGCCATTGTCTGGCTGCTGGAGCTGAGTTACAGTTCCAATTGAAAAAGATGGATAAGAACTAGTTCAATAAATCTGTTATTGAAATTGAGTCTCCTACTTTACATTCAGAGATCAATGGTTCTAACCTGGAAATTGTTTCAGGGCTCAGACAGAGCTTGAAAATTCCATAAATTTTGTGAATGTCTTGAAAAATTCTTAATTCAAAGTATTCTTTAAAATTTCTATCATAACATGACCTTTAGTTTTATCTATAATTGGACTATTCAGAAGTGTCACTAAGTATTAGTTGTCTTTAATTTTTCCAGAATATCACTATATTCAACTCTTGTGTGGTTTCATAGGAACGTGAGTTGTTTCCTTAATGTTCTTCTTGGCATTTTACTAAAGTGACTTTTCACCTTCAGTCTGTCCTGTGTAACAGAGAACAATGACTAAGGGTAACTGGCAATTAATATTATTGTATGTAAACGTATTTGTGGAGTGTGTATAAAATTAGAAAATGGATAGATCAAGATGAATTCAAAAACTGGAGTCAGAGTACAGAAAGGATGTCACTATAAGTCATGTTTTGCAGCTTTTAACTGTAACAGGCCACTGTGGGTATAGTCATTTAGGTTTGACTTTGCACCAGTTACAAATAAATTTGATTAATGTCAGGTTATGCAGTCATGGGTTAAGCACACAAGCCACCAACTCTAGGAGGTTTGCATTTGGAATGAAGAAATTCACTCTTGAGACTGTTTAATATTGTTCAATATCAAAATGATTAAACTCTTCATTCTGAATGGCAATATGTTCATAAATTAGGCCTTCTATTATATTCATTAACATTGAAACTACAGTGAACAAGTTAACAACCACATTAACCTGAAATATTCTTTCAGACATAATTTTGCTTGTACAATTGCAATAATTAATTCTTCCAATATGTTTATTGATAACTCTAATAAATCTTCTGTCAGCTTAATTAAATCTCCAGCAGATTTAATTTTAGTACCTTTCTTTCCACTGAAATTATACATTATCATTACTATCATTGTTAGCTAGATAAGGGATAGCATAGTTTATATTGTGAATATCTACAACACTGGATCTGGAGGTGCAGCAGAGATCCTGGGCAATTCTGGATCAGTTGGAGAGTTACAGGATAGCCAGACAAGTCAGGAATCAGAATCACCAAATTTTATAGAACTTAATTAGTATAATTACAACTCATCAATAAGTTCAGCTTGCTCAATTCTGCACGTAATTCTTTTAATTCAATTGGTGCTTTTTATCAAACCAAAACCATAACTGCATACTATGGATACAAACAGATTAATTTCAGTCCTTTGACACACTTTCTTCCGTTTTGCTGCTTACTCTCAAAATTCTGTTCAGCACTAATAAGCAGAACAAGTAGTTGCTACTTCTCATGTTACACTCAGGAATATGTTTCCAGCTAACTCATGTAATGTATTTCATGTTTGTCCTATCCTTATTTGGTAATCTTGCTCACTTGTTGGCATCAAATGTTTTTACAGCTGACTGATTTGGTTAGTGGTTTCGTATTTTGTATTACTATACTTCCTCAGTTGTTCCCAGAGTTTCAAAACTTCCTACATTTTATGGGTGTTGCACCTTATGTGTTCTAGACAAAGTACATCAATTTGAAGCTATCTTCCAATTCTTCTGAAAGATTTATCTCTGCAAGAAACCATCAAAATGCATTAATTCAGATCCTGTGAATTTTGAAATATAATTTGTTGTCAAAAGTGTCATGAATGTCTGTTGTTTGAAGTCCTTGAAAAACTGTAGTTAAAACCTTAAAAGGTCCTTAAGAAGTCCTTGAATTTTATCATCATGACTGTGTGAACACTATGTTTAGTTCATAGTACCAGCCTACCCTCTGAAATGTTAAATATATTCTAAATAAAGAAGTAAAATCATGCCTTATTTTCACAAATAAATTCAGAATCACATTTCTATAGCCAACACTTTCATTAAACCCCCCCAAAAAACGTACATCACATATAATAGTTAAATGAACCACCTAAATATCACGTTAGTGTAGCCTGTATAATGTGTAAAGTTTAGTGTACTCTAATCCCTTATAGTGATGGCACATGACGAAATGCACATGCAGTGCTGTTTGAATACAAGAAGGGAAACAATGCCTCTGTAGCCACAAAGAATATCAAAAAAGTTTATGGAAATGTTTTGAACGATTGTAAGTGTCAACAATGGTTCAGCAAATTTTGTTCAGGTGAGTTTAGTCTTAAAAACTATGATGGCAGGGGCCGACATGTTGGAATTGATATTGATGCTCTGAACACACTTGTTGAGTCTAACCCAAGGTAACACTCATGGAATGGCTCTGAAATTGCATGTCTTTCATGAGACAATACCCAAACATCTGAGGAATATGAGAAAACTCCTTAAAGAAGGTGTTTGGGTGCCTCACAAACTCTCTGATAATCATCGTTTCCGATGTGTGAACATTGCTTTGTCTCTTCTGACATGTAATGCGTGTGAACCATTTTTGGACATAATTGTCACCGAGGATGAAAAATGGATTCTCTATGCGAATATTAAATGCCCAAAACAATGGCTTAGTCCTAGACAAAAACCACTTCCGACCCCAAAACCTGGACTTTATCCACAGAAAGTGAGGCTTTGCATTTGGTGGGACATCATAGGAGTAATTAATTTCGGACTCCTCAATCCACAGCGAACTGTCAATGCAGAGATCTATAATCAGCAACTGGAACATTTAAATCAAGCTCTTCATCAGAATGCCGATCACTCATAAATCAGAAAGGTGGTGTTCTCCACGACAATGCACGTCCACATGCGGCACATTTGACGCAAAACAAGATTATGGAGTTGAGATGGGAAGTTTTCCCCCACCCACCATATTTTCCAGATATGGCACCATCAGATTACCATCGTTTTTGTTTGCTGCAACACCATCTTAATTGGAAAACATATGCAAATATAGTGTATTGTTAAATAGGAGAAGAGAGTCTTTGGCCGAGAGTTCAAGCATAGATTTGAAATCAGACTTATAAACCTTAGTTTTATACAAACTAGTTACATAATTCCACTATAAAACAATTTGAAGCTCTATAAATAACCTATTTACTACAGCTGCAAAATATTCATTCACTAATACCAATAAAAGAACAAGTCACCATGTTTCTCACTTGCTGTGGCATAGGTTATCCTTATAATCTTTTATCTTTCTTCCAGTGAAAATCTACACATCAACAAATATTTCGGTTTAGAAATAAACTGAACATACATTTGATTACTAAGTAAGTACAAATATACTGCGTTTCTCCCATGTTGTGGTGTGAGCTATTTACTGTGATCTTTATCAAACATAGAAATATCTCAGTATTCAAGCTAAATTCTGGATTCTCTAGAAAAGTTTGACTCAATCATGCTTTATGTTTATGTACATATCTAAACACAAACTAGTCCATATACAGAGGTGAAGTACATTTTATTGAAATGATTTTGAAGCCTCATTACATAGTTACAGTCCATCTTGCCATGTTTGGTCATGCTCTATCTGATGACCATGTGTCTTTACACTAGCTCACAGTGTAGTTTTCATTGCATAAGGCTCTGTCATAATGTTATCATATTCAAAGCATACCCCTCTTCCCTGCAAACTTTCTTTAATCCATCTATTTTACAAGTACAAAGGTTTACCAGTTACCATTTCTACAATCAAATCACATAGATATTCATAGGCTATGTCTCTCAACTTGACCAATGTACCCATTTCATTCTTCAGCTGTTTGAGGTATGCATTGGTTGAGCTGATATGTTGTGGAAGCAACTTGTGTACACATGACTGCTACTCGGGTTCTCTGCTGGCATTCCCTTCAGGAATAAGATAGCCAATGTTAAAAAAATTATGCCTGTTTTTGTTACAAAATTCAAATTTCAAAACTTTCTGTATTTCATCACTATTGTACAAAGATCAACATTTTTCTTGTAGTATAAAATGCATTTTTGTTAAGTGGGAAAGTAATTATGCTGAATTTTGTTAGTTCTTCAACTGCAGAATTTTCAAAAATAGAATAAACTAAGATGTTTCACAAGAGTTTGTGTTTTTAAGAACAAAGTGATATTTTGTTGTTATCAAAATTAATATAAATGCCATATTTGCTTTAAAATAAATATTTAAGGACTAAAGAAATTAGCAGAATTATAATGGATCCAAGCAAGTCAAATATAAGTAAGCTGGTTAATATTAATTACACTTAAACTGTCTGTTAATATATGAAATTCTTGCAGTGAACCATATTTCATAACAGTTCTGCTAAATAATTAGTTTATTTATTTGTTGGTTAATAAAATCTTATGTACATGTGTAACATTAACAAACACTAGAGCACAGTGGTAGTGCTTACTGCATGTACATGGATTGAGTTAGCTGAAATAAAATGCTAGATTCGTGTGTGCTTGGAATTTTTAATTCCCAATAGAATTACTGTTACCAAGGTATGTGTTTTACTGTTTCATTGTGGCAGATTGTGTCTACTTCTCTGAGATGTTAGTTCTGTTGTATACTGTTGATTACTAGTATAATAAGAATTAAAAACAAAAAGATAAAATACAATGTGGATAAATAGAACATTTAAGTTTGTTTTTACTTTTCTTAGATGGGTGTAATCCTCCAGTTTTGCCTTGCCTTCAGAGGGTGATGAAGGTATGTATAAGGAAATCATTCATTTTTATTTTTTAAGGGAGGTACAGATAATGTTTTCCTTGCATTATAGGAGATATATAAAAAGTTTGCTTAGGAGAGGAATTGTGTATAAAGAAAATGAAGTATGCAAGAATGGGCACTATACTTGCATTAGACAGTTACAAATTTTTCTGTTAGAGAGGAGTGAGGAATAGTGAAATTTATTTTAATGTTTTTTTTAAGGAGTGTATAACCATTGTTTTTCAACACTCGTATTAGGTTTAAGAACAAGATAATCAACTATTTGTTGATTATGAACTCTATTTACCAGTATTAGCATTATGTTTTAGATTATAGAGAGCACAAAAATACCTCTTGTTACTATAGTCCTAGGTCATTATTTACATAATCTTGACTATTACTAACTTTACTACTCTTAGTAGTATGATACTGGATGATACACAAGTCATGTAATGAATGCTACCATTTGAGAAATCAATAATATATTGTACCTGATTTTATTTTAAACAATAAGCTCTGTATTTCTCAGTAACATAATACTGTCTTTTCTATTTCTGCTTGAATTTAGTTAGTAGGTTAATAAATAAGTAAATGCAAATCTGACCTGAAAATATTGTAATTTTATCTTTTTTGGCAAAACTTGTGAGATTATAATGTACTGGTAGTTGGGTCCATTTTTATTTTTATTATTTAATTTCTAATAAAAATTGTAATAAAAAATGTATTTTTACATTTTATTGGTTTAAGGACTAACAGTTAAAAATTAAGTATTTGATAGATAAATCATAAAAGTTGTAGAAGGTGTACAAATTACATTGCCAAAGCCTTCTTTTATATTGATAGTCTAGACAGTGTTTTCATTTGGTTAAAAAA